CGGGAACAGATAATCCAAGAATCCCCACCCTCCGGTTCGATTCCCCGATGATCGAACGAATCGATTCACGGTGATCCTGTTTTTCCCTTCAGTGCGGCGGTGGGTCGCGGTGTAGGCCAAGTGGGATGAGACGACCTCAGCAAGACCATCATCACCATCAGCACAACAACCACCATCACCACCAGAATAATCAGAATCATCATCATCATCACCAGCATAGATCTTCGGCGAGCCCCACCGGGCCTCGACAAACGATTGACAAGGTAGTGTACCGCTGCGGGTACGACTTGACAGTAGTAAGGATAATAATATCATTCTAGTACTGATAGATGATGATAAGATATCAGGTTGGACAAGAAGTACTGTCGCTTTCTCTCGACGCCGTGAGGATAAAAGTAATAAACAAATAATGCTACCAAAAGGTAGCTAAAGACACGGCGGTGGACGTTAGCGGAGAGAAACTAGTCTTTAAACTTTCTTAAAAGATACGGCATGACTTTCTAGCCAATCTAATGTTATTATAACAATCGGGTATAGTATCTAATACCAGCTCGATTCATAGGATTCCAACGAATGATCGCAACGAACGCGATCAGCGTTCGAATACTAGTGCGATCGAACTGGATCGGTCGCCCATGCCATTTGCATCCGTAAACGGGACATTCTGCACGCGATCGTCCCGCGCAACTGATCCTGGAATAATCCAGGAACGTACGTTCGAACGAATCGGGAATTGTCGGCAATCGATGCCGATCGCCGATCTCATTATAGTTCGATATCTTGGCTACCGCTCAGCGTCCACGATCAACACATTAATCGTTGATCGCGTACGCCTCGACGCTCGCGTGTATCGCTGACACAGCCAAATTCTTCGGACGCCGCGTCAGACACGCGTAACTGGCGACATTCCTCGTCTCGCTGGTAAAACGTATTTTCATTTTGGCCCCGGGGGTACTTTCAGCCAAAATTAGCTTTACGATTGAATTATCGGACCACGTGGCAACAGTAAGGATCTTCTTAGAGCGTCAATGTTACAATTACTTCCCAGTAATTCTGAAGTAATCCTCACCATGGAAATTGATATTTCTATCAAAGTTGAACGGGAAACAGAATGATTTTATCTTCGAAGATCCTCGAGCAACCGAAACATTACCCATTGCCTTACGATTTCCTCCGCAACGGTTTCTCCTGAACGATTAACTAGAGAACAATAAGAATATCACGTTGGTCGCGAATGTATGTTTACGATAACATAAAGATCCAACGTTCACAAGAGAAGTGAACCTGTTTAATGTTCAATATTGAAATTTCACGAGAAACACTCGACGTTACAAGGCAACGGGTAAACTCGTCGATATGCGAATGGTTTGGGACCGTCTGTTACGGTAGCTTTGTGACCAATTGAAAAACAGATTTTCTGTGAAGGACGAGTCCCGTTTGGCGAAAGTGAAGCGGGTGTTGGCGGTGTCGTTGCTGGGACGCAACGGGGGATCCACGAAGGTGTTCGGCGCACGGCTGGATTCGGTCGAGTCCTACCTGGACACGGGCGTGCCGTTCGTCGTGCACCGTTTGTGCAGCTACATCGAGGCGCATGGGTTCCAGAGCGCCGCTGTGTTCCGACTGTCCGGCGGCAGCCCCAGGTTGGCCGAGAGGCTGAGAGCCGCGTTCGAGAGGAGAGGAGACGCGGACCTGGAGGCTGCCGCTTGTCCTCCGACCGCAGCGACGCTTCTCCGGCAGTACCTGAAGGAGCTGCCTCAACCGGTCGTGCCATCAGCGCTCGTCGCCAGGCTGCTGATGGTTCACGCCCGTGAGTATAGATCAGACAAACCTCAATTAGCGTTCTAAACACCTCGGCTCCTCGCAGCTTCCACGCTCAATCTTAATGACTGCGTCCTCGAAGCTTCAGAGCTCAATCTTAGCACGTCGAACGCCGCACGATTTCGCAGAGCAAAATATAATATTAAATCATTCGATTGAATTCTATTATTATTACTGATTAAGTAACGCTATTTGTAATATACAAATGCTTCCAAATAATTGTTTTTCAATTGACTGAACTATAGTAATTCGATTGGGTTGGGGGTCACCGGAGACCTCCATGACATTCAACGTGTTAAAACTACGACAATCGAATCTGAGCTTTCGAAGCAATAGTGAACTATAAGATTCATTGCACCGAGAGTCGTGACACGAAGTTTGTCGAGTAGATCATTGGAGGCAGAGTTACGTTAGCTATGAAGGGATCATGAAATTGGGGATTGAATATTGAGATGAAATTCAGATGTTTATTCGATGTATACTGTTTAAATTAGATCTAGTTTTTTCGCTGAATTAGGGCTTCGTTAAGCGGTCCATCTTAACTATTTAGTCACACGTCCGGTCGTCCGTTTCAGAGAATTACGAGAACGACCGGGATTGCTGGATCAACTTGACCAAGGAACTTCTCTCGACACTACCATCCTCGCACTATCGTTTGCTCGGTTACCTGGCGATTTACCTGAGCAAGTACGAAGCTAGACATGGACGCGGCGCGGGCGTTTGCGGGGTGTTCGCCCCCGTGATACTCCCGCACGTTCCGCCAGCGACCACACTTCTCCGGGACATCCTGGCCGAGGCGATCGAGCTCTTCCCGGACTGGTAAGTGACGATCTAATCGCGGCACGGATTGCACGAATTTCGTTAGCCGACGGTCCCATAAAATTCGTGGCACTGATAAGACGGGTGCCGTTTACCATCGCCGACGGATATATCCGACACACTAGCCTAGGTTAATCAGCTCCAGAATCGAATCCGCTTACAGCTCGCAAATATGCGTCAACTGTGTCGTCTATTATGTAAGAAATTAGCATACAACCGTCGTGTACCAAAGAAGACCGTCTACGTCAACGATTGATCGTTTCGTTTCCGTTTCGTGTAAACGTTGTCGCTCTTACGTCTACGTTGCATACCGTCGACAGCTTCGTAAAAAGTTTAACAGGTTTCTTCGTGTTGGCATTTACGTAACGGAAGGAAACATCGAAAAACGTTGAATATATTATCACCTTATCTACCGAGTACCTATGGAACAAGCTTTACAATGACGTGTAATCTAATATTTAAAAAGCGGCCTGATAATTCCCTAGTATCATTTAGATTGTATATTGCTCGGCACGATTCGCCAATTCAGAATTCTAACTGCGGGTAAGTAGGCATCGGTGTAGATAGGTTTTTCACAGGACTCTCCGCAGCCAAGTAGCCTAGCTTCCCATCGATCGCGACGTAGGGTTGGCTAGCAACCCACGAATCAAGACAATTAACTCGCGCCTCTGGAAACCGTTCGGATGCTAAAAACCGCCGTGAGCCGAATCAATTTCACCGCAGTCTTACAATCGATTCGTGCGGCTATTTTCTGGCTAAACAAACTATCCATCAGCGGAAATTGGCAGAGCGGGCCGAGCCTGTTTCCAAGGGGTTCTGGGACGCTCATTCCTAGAGCTGGCCGATTCCCGCGATCGCGTGTCATTAAATATACAGTTGCGAAGCAATTATGAAACGAGCCGTAATCGCGCAGTTACCACTCGGCCAGGCTAAATCGATCGGTCGCTGCCACCACCCACGCACGTGTCAGCGCGGTGCGCGTTCCCGACACGCTTGCTCCGAATTCGATCCGACGCGCTGGGCTGCGTGATCTTCGGCCCCGAGCTCGATCATTGTTTCCCGCCGCCGTCGTGTCGGTCTCGTTATTAATTGGCCGTTCGCCGGAGGAATTTCAGCTCGCGGAAAACTTTCACCGGCGACCGATCCGCGTGCATCGAATTCTTTTCCCTTGGACGGGGCAGGCTGTAGGCCTCGTTCCAGCCGCTCCGCGGGTCTTCAGCCGATTTCAATCGGAATCGGCTACCGATCGGCGCCCGATCGTCGACCTTGTTGAAATTATTCAACGGTGACGGCCGTACTTGAAAAACGGACCCAGTACTTCCTCTCCCAGTTTGCTCGCGCTTATCTTTCGTCCGACGTACAAGGAGCACGCGGCGGATCCCAGTTGCATAGCAATCCGTTTTCTCGGTCGCCGCGGCGCTCCCGATTCGAGCAAGGTAAATAATAATTAGTAATTAGACCACGGATGTTCTCGCGTGTGCTGGTTACGAACAGCTCGTATTCAGAGATCGGAAAAAGAACTTGGAGCTACGTTGGAAGGTTCTTTTCACGCTCCCATTTGAGGAGTGACTAATTGGTAGATAGATTTTTCAATGTTTTTCACGTTTATGAAACACTAGTGTTCATTACGAAACTGTGGAAAGTAAAATTTGATACATCTACAGCTGCATTTGGACTCGGTCGCTTGGTAGAGTACGAAGTTTGATAACTCCGCGAAGTTCCTCGTTGCTTCGTGGATTTCACTGACGCCAACTGATGTAGGAACGAACGAACGAAGTACAGTTCTATTCGGCGGTTTTTCTCGGGTGTATTTATAGCCACGTGAAATTTGCGTGAATATCCGCAGGCTGGTTATCGCGCGATTTACTACTACAACACCGACAGCGGGCATTACGACACGCAACGTAGCTGTGTCATTTAGAGTTACGTTTCGATCGATGACACCACCGATACGCGGTACGGCAGAGATAAAGTTAACGATTAAGGTCGTAAACTTCCGTTCCCCGCGTCGATTGCAACCAGTCGACGCGACCGAATTACAGTTAATAGCACGCCGGGAACATTTTTCTATTGGAATCATTGTGTGCGTGCGGGTTGTGGCCAATATTCGGTATCGATTAGTTTACGGTGACCAGCGACTTCCTCGTTCGGATATCATTCGTCGGAACTTAACTCGGATCTCCTCGCGGTTCGAAAGTCCCAGGCGAAGGGCTATTTCCGTCGCGAATCGCGATAACCTGCAGTCTATTTTCGTGGAAAATTTCACCGCGATTAACTTATTTTTAATCCGTGTTTACACTGCATCTCTTTTTTTACACCAGGATCCAGCGTAAAAATAACGCGCGGATCATGGCCGCGTTCATCGCTTTTTCCACGAGGTTTTCCTTCGATCTTTCGCGGGAAGCTGGTCCTGATTAGCGGCAAGTCTGACGGTTTCTTCGAACAGATGTGAACTCCGAGAACTTCAATCGTTAACTGCTCTAGATCTACAATTACTAAACTAAATGAATAGCCGTAATTAACGTTGGCAGTTTGTGAGACTTTTTATAACAATCGTATGAACTTGAACGTCCAGGCGTAGTTGACGCTGGAATAACCAAATCCGTCAAAATGAAATCCGTTCGAATAGAATTTCTCATTTTTAATTAAAATTATTAAGGATATTTATTCTCGTGTGAATAAAGGAATAAATCCATAAATTGACAAATTGATTGATAATAAATGGATTGACGATAAATCAACGATTAACAAATCCATTATCACAATCTATCGGTATGATCAATCGGTACGCCCGTTGCGCTTGTGTTAAAGAGAAAGAGTCTAACATTGTAGACACAAGGACCGTCAGTCTGACGCGTGTTTTATGTATCAGCTCCTTGCAGCGGTTCGTGGTAACCTTGTCCGGATATTCCAAGCGAATTTATTCTAACAGTTCGACGGTGAACTGCGCAATTCGCCGGTCTCAGTATAACTCTTCCTGTCCGAGATGAATGGCATACTGTACGTGGGTTATCACTTTCACGGAATTCGCAGTTCAACATCGAACAGGTACCTGCCACGATAGTAAGTGATTATTCATACTCCATCAATCCTTGCTCCTCAATCCGAGTGCCATTCTCATTCTGACGCCACTTCATTAACTTCTTGCTCTACAATCTTCATCGCAGACTGCACTCGCGAGAGTCATTTTACCGTGAACATTTTATTAGAAAAGAAAGGAGCTATACCTTCACCGAAAATCCATATTAATCCTCAACGCGGAATAATAATAACAGAGAACTAATACCAATTTCTGTTAAGTTCAATTCGAAGTCTTCCTCACGAGTGCTCGGCATTGTAAAGCAAAATATTAAGGGGACGATTTTCTCGTTTCCATTTATCGCAGCGATAGTCACGGGAAACTCGAACGAAACTTGCAAATCGACTTCGGCTTCGATTATCAAAGAAACATCTTAGAGGAAAGGATGGAACGACCGGTTAACATTCGATCGAGCACCGTATCGCCGCTGAAAGTGCATCAAAATCGGCGTGTGCCAGTTGGCCTTGTTCGCAACCAATTAACGTGCTCAAAGTCCGGAGCGCGTCGGTGGATCTCGATTTTTCTGGAAAGCGGAACGAAGAAACCGGCGTGCTCCGCGCGCCATTTTGTCGGCGAGGGGTTCGCCGGGACGTGCCGGTTCGTGCCGTCTTCTCGGTGTACGCGCCACGCGCTGCTAAATGCACATCGCGGACCGAAAATAACACCGTTGACGTCAACATGCCAAACGCGCGATCACAAGTTACTCCTCGAGTATCTAGCAACGAGAACCATCCGGCCCGGCGGATCGTCATTTGCCGCATCGCGTCGGACGCGAGCGGACGGATGCGTTTTGCAACGAACCTGATTTTCATGCCCCGTACGATAACCGACGACTCATTGCGGCACCGATTACGAAATCAGGTGCTAGCTCGCGGGGAGGGACTCGCCGTGTTCGTCCAGCGCGCGTAAATCGTGGAGGAACGTTTCCTTTTACTTTCGCGGTCGGGGAGGTTCCCGTCTAGTTCGAAAATGGTAACGCGGCCCGACGGCTGCGCTGGTTCCCTTTGTTTGCTCCCCAAACACGGAAATATTAACACGTTCGCATCGGAAAACGAGAGTTCTCGTTTATATAAAATAAGAGAACTCCCGTTCCTCGGTGCGAATGCGTTAAGATACTAGACTGTACGTTCTATCGTATATATCAATTACAAAAATAATTACACTTCTAATACACGCGTGTCGAAACATCGTTATATCCGTACGATTCAAGTGGCAAACGGTAGCTATAGTACCACTAATTAAAACCCAGCCCTCAAACTCTAATAATGTTCTTAACACTGGATTTACAGAACGGGTCAATTTGGCTCGTATTGAGTTTTATAAGCATTATTTGGCAAATGTTTGTGTATTTTTATTAATGCAGTTATGCAAATATGTATCCTGTCTATTCTTAAACCTCGTTTAGTTTCTCTAAGAACAATAGCACAAACTCCACAGTAAATGTCGGTAAATCTAGTGTTAATAGTAGATCCACAAATATCTATTACACAGTTTATACTATTATCGCTAGAAAAATCGATGCTTCGTGTATCTCTCCCGAACAAGAGTTTCATTCTACATGAACGAAAGGACGCCTACAAAATTCAATACGCGACCGATCGACTCCCGTGAACCCGAAGTACTTTAAAGTGCATGTAAAAGAAAAAGATACGAAATATACGTATCGCGAACGTTTTACAACCGAAGGACACGAGGATCGGTCAACCTTCGCAGGGTGAATCCTGCTTCATTTCCGCGTAGCCAAAGGCCACCGGTGCCGCGTGCGTCGCCGCGAGCGAATCGGTCACGAGTTCGCTTCCCTTTTTTCCTTTCCTCGGCGTACGGACGGAGAAAGGGTTTCGACTCGATAGGTTCTCGAGGCAGTCACGTGCTTGTAACGCGGCTGGCGATGGGCGAGCGGTTGGGGGCCGGTGTGCACGGCTCGAGGAGTCACGCACACCAAGGATCGGCCGGCCGCTCGCGCGACACCTCGGACCTCGGGATA